GTGTTTGATTATTACTAAAGAAATATATCCTCATTGAGAACTACTTGTGAACTAAGAAATAATAACCAATTAATTACTAATCACAAAAGTAACATGTCTAAAAAGTGAACAATTTTGGGAGTTTTACTCTTAACATGGTCATAACATTTCAGAAGCACGTGCCTCAAATGGGTTCTTTGTGGAAACCAGTTTATTAAGTTTATACATCCCCCCCAAATATACATTAGCTAGGTTGAGATTGTGACCACTACTCTTGCCAGGATGGACGCATGTTCTCTGTTTATTTAAAACTTAAACATAAAATAATCCTAATAAAGACAGTTTTTAAAAATAAATCTTAAATAATTAGGAAGTGATGCTGACACTCTCATGATTGGATTAGTTCACTATTATGAGCTCTATTGAATGTCAGTCACATATATCTCAGACTCCAAAGACCTATAAGCTGCCTGAGGAGGACTTCTCTTTAGCACATGAATATAAACATTGATGTTCACTTGTCAAAAACAATTAGCATCTTTGATGAAGAAATTGGCTGCATTTATGTTACGATAAGCGCAAAACCACATCTTCCAGATTACAGTGTTTGTTAGAATATTAGTGCCTCACAGAACCTGTACAGTATGTGTCAAATATAAAATTAAATAACTTGTATCATTTGTGAAAAACATGTTAACTCCCCAATAACTACTTAAGCGTTACCTTGTCATCCCGCAGGAACTACTAGTGATGTGGCCCATTATTTTAAAGTGAAAAACATGTTAACTCCTAACTAACTAACTCCTAACGTTACCTTGTCATCCCGCAATGTTTACACAAGGTAACGCTTGTAGTTAGTTAGGAGTTAACATGTTTTTCACTTTAAAATCTAAAATCTAGACAAATAATGAAAATGAAGGATGGACGTGGATTACCAGAAACAATTAATTCCCGGTTGACAAACCCGTTTTTGTTTATCAGTTGCAGTTATTAATCTGAAACAATACACTTGCTCATCGTTTTCAGTGACGTCGTGCAGTCTGAGGACGGCAGTTTTGTTTTGTCTGTCTTCAATGTATTCAACCTGGTCTTAATAATATATCTATATGTCAACCAATCCAATGTCAGTGAAAATGATTGACCGGCGGAGACACTGACTAAACAAAAAGTGTTTGTCCGAATCCACAAAAGTTTTGAAGAAATAAAGTAAGACTCAATATTTTTAGAAGTAATAACACAGAGTTATGTGGCTCCTCACTTGTGTTGTGTAAAGTGTCAGGGGAAAATAAAGAGGATTCTCCAGTTGATAAATGAAACCTTATCATGAAATCTGCCGCTGGTTACAGCAATGCCACCCTGACTGAAGATGCCAATGAGAACAATGACATCTGTCAAGCTGACACTGCTGGAACAGTGGATATCAGTAATGAGGATCATAGTTATGCAGATTCAACTGATATATGTGCAAAACATGACTGCTTTCAGGAAGATCACAGCTACACCTAGAGTCTCGAACAACAGGAAAAAGCATAGAAGGCAATGCCACAACTCCAGGGGTTTCAAGACGTCACAACTCCTGGTTGAACAGGTTTAAGTTCAGAAGAAAATAACTCCACAGTCCTTCATGAAAATACATGTTTAAAGCAGTTTCAAATCAACTTCTGCTCAAGACAGTTCAAGTTCAGTGGAGGAACGAGCAACACCACATCGTCATTATTCATGGTTAGTAAATATAATACTACTACTATAATACTTCTACTATACTATAATACTACTTTATAAAACATAATGATAGATATAGATTTAAAAGTGTTTTTGTAGGTTTTTTTTTTTTTTTTTTTTTTTTTTTTTTTTTTACAGATTTAAACAACAGCTTTCTGATTCCTCATATTCATCTCACAACCTTTATTACAACTCATTTAGATTAGGACAGTCACAATATCAGATTTTTCAGTACACGATTGTCATGGCCAAAGTAGTTCATGATAAAAATATATTGTGATATCTATAGAAAAAATAAATAATGTTATCAGTCAAAGTAAGCTTTATTTATTTTATTTGATGAATTTATTAATTTGACTAATAAATCACACAACTGTATACAAAAGGAAATGCTAACCATTTTAGTTTAGTACTAGCAGGGCTGGCAACTTTTGAGTTTAGCTTGGTGTGAGAATTATGGAGCGCAAAACAGTATTTTTTGTTTTAATTTTGTAATAAGATTGACAGAATGTGAAAGCCGAGACTTTGTTTCATATCATAGTACCCTGCTCTGTGTCATCTGTCGGTGTCAGTGTCTTTGCTCTGTGATTTTTCAGTGTGTGAGAATATGGTTGTGTGACGTGAGTAAGTGTGTGAACTGTGTCAATAGTGTGAGTCTCGCACTGAATGCCTGAGAGTTGGCAGCCCTGCCACAAGTCTAGACTAGTTATTATACTTTTCTCCACAAATCACAGAATCATTCGTCAAAAGGATCCGCATTTATATGCTGACCAAAGGAACTTAACATTATCCTTACAAGGTAGAGAAACGTGTGTTCATGTTTAAAACCGAAAGTATATCTCCAGGGCCGGCTCTATCCCTTTGGTTGCCCTAGGCGAGATTGATTTTTAGCGCCAACGCTCCATTAAAGTGAAAGCACACTTTTGATAGACGAAATAAAAAAGATTTCACACAAAAGGTGCTCAAAATGCTCAGAATAAGCATGCGTGGTGTATTTTAAGAACTGGATTAGGTCAAAAAAGAAATCGAAGATTAAAAACAATAATTGTAGAAGATTTACCCAAAACTTGTTTTAATAATTCCATTTGGGTGAAAGTATGGTGATGATTAAAAAATATATATAATGAGCCAAAAAATAGGTACTACAAGGACACATCTTCTAAGGAAAAAGTGTGGAATGAAATTTCTTCTGCTATTTCTGCAGGTGGTAAGTCAACAATTTTATTTCAAATATTCTGCAAGTTAAGTACAGGCATATAATGAATAAAACCGAAAAGTTTAAAACATTGTTTAAATCTTCATGTTTTAGTAACAGTTTCTTGTTGAATCCGGTGTTGAACTCGTGGAGATTCTGGAAGCTGTCTTCCGTAAATGCGCAGCACAGAGAGCTAGATTACGATCGTCACTTTCAGGAACATAATCAAACATAAATTGTGTCCATTGTTGACGAAGTACAGTGTCCGTGGGAAGCCCGAACACAGAAGACCACACACTTGACGAGCCGCTTAAATATGTGCATGCCCTTTTCCTGCATATTCCAGAGGGAGGGTTGATGCAAATGTGTGGGTTAGTGACGTACCATAACCCAGCTGTAGTCCCAATCCAGTCGTTTTTGTAGGCAATATACTTCCTGATTTTTAAAAGACGATATCTCTGCTTACACTATACTTTCAGTGCTGCAACTTTACAGATACTGTTCATGCACCAACAGCAACATTACACACTATTTAAAATCAAAAAAGTGAAATCGCAGTCAACCCCCCCTTTAAGTAACATGCCCAAAACTAATGATGAGTATTTATTAAACTAAACAAAAATGCTCTTATAATCACTCCAAAACTTCAAGAAGTTGAAGGATCATCTGTAATAAATTGTTCATACAAATTCTACAAATAAGGTTCAAGGATATTTCTATCATCCTACATAGTTGAATTGTACAAATAGGCCTACATTATATCTGTGATAATGTAATGTAACTTGCTTACATAAATTACAATTACTACCTAGCTGGTACAAGGCTAAGGGAGTTTTGGGGTCCCCGTAAGAAAATGATGTGCATTTTATTGTTTAATTAATGTTTAAATCAAATTTAAATGTTAAATTCATCAATCTGGTGCAATTCAGTGTGCAAATTGAACAAAGAAAAATTCAAACCTCTTTTACACTACTACATAATAGGCTATATTGTAAAACAAATGCAATGAAAAATAAAAGAAACTTTCATAATTAGTTTTGTACAAATTTCTATACTTGTAAGTAAGCTATATGCTTGGAAGCAACTCAGCGCCGCCAATTAAGAAAAACAAAACGAATGGGCTGCCGATGTACGAGTTTTATGGGCCGTTAAGACAAAAAATAAATAAAATTAGGCTATGAGATGTATCGGCCCAAAAAGCACGTCGGTCACCGGGAATCTCAAGTAGGCTACACCGGGAAGTACATTTATTTCGTTTGACGCTTAAATGGCTGAGATGAGAAGGCTTACCTTTATATTGGGCTTTCTTTTTATTTTGTTGCTTTCTCTGTTTTCGTCCCTGTGCACCAGAGGGTTTATACCACTTCCGATCAACGGGCCAGCAGCTGAGTACTTGCCTAACGTAACGTATTGCAACCCCCTGGAAAAGATTGACAATAATCATCAATTCAGTCCAATAATCAGTAATTAAGTAATTAAACGAGGGGCGCCTTAGGATGATCATGTTTAATAAACATTTTTTTTTCCCGCTTCTCATTCTCGATTAATGGGGAGTAGCAGAGAATGTGAAGTAGGTCAAGGGCGACACTAGAGCGCACCTGCGGCGCCCCCAACACATTTGGCAACCGCCTATTTCGCCTATAGCAATCGCCGGCCCTGTATATCTCATGCTACACAATCCTCCTTCCTTAAAGAGAATACTTCAGTCAACATATGCGTCAGTGGAAACTATGCTAGATTGCATTCACACTCCTGTGTGGTTAAACTCCTCTCACTCTTCTACATGTCCTTGGCATGTGATCCTCACACACACTTGCTGTGCGGATAGCTTTTATTTCTTCTAAATTCTCGAGTGTCTTGGCCTTATATGATTTTTGCAAGTTGAACTTTCCCACATCTAAGGGCCCTGAGATGCTGAATTTACTCCAGTTGGCATATAGTTCAATCAAATTTTGATGGCCACTTTCACCTGGACTTTTCACGAGCGGATAGCTGTCCAATCACAGAAGACGCATGAAGTGTCCCGCTGTAAACACACCCCTAGAGTCTCAGAGGACTGTGAAATCAGGACACACACACACAAACAAACAAGAACAACAGCAAAACACTTGGAAGGCATTTAAAGAAAAAAGTCACAACTCCTTTTGACAAACTGGTTATATTAGTTTACTGGAAAAGTTCTGGTTGAACAGGTTTAAGTTCAGAAGAAAATAACTCCACAGTCCTTTACGGAAATACATGTTTAAAGGAGTTTCAAAGTAACTTCTGCTCAAGACAGTTCAAGTTCAGTGGAGGAACGAGCAACACCACATCGTCATTATTCATGGTTAGTAAATACTACTTTATAAAATATAATGATAGATATTAGTTTTAAAGTGTCATGTATCCATGCACATTGATCTAGACTTAATAAACAGCATTGACACATTGTTTATACAGTTTTTTGATTGCTTAGCACTAACAGCGCTGCCAACTTTTGAGTTAAAGGGACACTTCGCCCATTTGCATTAAGCTTTGTATCTTTAGAAACCCAGTCCTATTTTTGAATGGTCATGGTTTATTCCCTTATTTTCCCCTGAGATGGGAGAAATAAGGATTTAAGTGTTTTACTTCCTGCTAATCAGGGATGTAGTGGAGGCTAAACGCAGGTAAACGCCATTTACGCACCTCCAAATATTCGGAAATAGCGTTTACCCACCTCCAAAGTGCGTTTATCCACCTCTCAGTTGCGTTTATCCTCCTCTAAATATGTGTATCTACCTCTATATCCTGTAGTTCCTAAGACACTTTAAATTAAGCTTATGTCATTTTAGTTTCATATTGTTCATTGTTAGTTTCATTGGTTGTTAAGACGAACTCTTTCATATTGCGCTGCATTACTGTCAGTGTTGTTGACTATTACTGACGGTAAGGTTGCACTGTTGACGCTCGCGCAGCCTCTCGAGCAGAAATCTACACAAATGAGCGCAGCACACACACACACTCAGTTAACAACATACTGCCTATGAAAATTGAAATGTGGAGTTTATATTTTTAACATATGTTAAGCAACCTCAATTATTTTTCCTGAACACCATCATGATTGAAAATGTGACATTGGTTTGCTACAACAGTTCAATAAACAGTTAAAATAAATCACTTACATTTTAGATACAATATTGGCTGTTTTTTTTTTCTGTTTCAGCAGCGAAAATAGTTCCAAACAAAGTTCCAAACGAATCGATTGAGCCAAAGATTCAATGACCCATTCATAAACATCTGTCTCATTCTTGAATGATCAGCCGTTTGAATGAATGAATCAATGACTCACTCATTAAGATGGTCGCCTCCCACCCCCAACTGGCGGTTTAGTGTTAAATGTTTAAAAGTAGTATTATTCTTTCCAAAGTTTCTTATATGTAAATTTAAATCAATTTCATAACATTATTTTATGCAATTGTATTTTTTCAGTGTAAATGATTTAATTTGATCAGCCCCTAGGGTAACAGCCCTACAGTGCCTTATTATTCGAAATAATTGAATTTATTTAATTGAATTTTAATTGAATTGAATTTTATTGAATAATTGAATTTATATGAATTGCTCTATAGTGTCTTATTATTCGAAATAATTGAATTTATTGATCAAATTTAGGAATTTAAAATGAGAGATGAAGCATAATATTGGGGGAGGGGATGCCCTTTAAAGGTGCAGATATTACAATATGGTGATTTAGATATAAAAAAGCTGATTGAACACTGATGAGAATATTGTTTCAGAATAAATTAACACACAAAAATATACTAAAAAATCCAGACGACAACTTTTTTACTCGGACAAGTGAATGACAGATTTACTTATCTGAAGGACAAGCGTATGAAAACCCTTAATGTCGAGGCCTCCCTATAGCAATGTTATCAGGATACACATACACCGGTAGGCAGTGGCCCACCTCATCTTATGACTACGTCGTGGTCCACCAGAATTTATAGTTTACCCACCTCTTTTTTTACCAGTACACCTCTGCTGCTAATTATGACATAAGAATCGTCATTTTGCGTGATAATAAGCAGGAAGTCACATTTAATTAAAAAGTGTATAAACTACAAACATTATCTCATTATTATTCAAGGGTGTGGGGCCCACTCACCCTACAGGCCTATTACAGATCAGTGGGTGGGACTTCACTTGCAGAAACTGAAATCAATATGCGCCATCTTGTTTTTGCTAACTAAGCTAACTGCTGTTTTTTGGTTGACATCTGGGGGCTTGCAGCAAAAGAGTGGGATAGTTTGGTTCCAGCATACACCAGTTGTTCCATTTTCTCTGAGAAGCACAGAAGTGGAGATGCTGGAGAGAGGGATAACATGTCTGGGGAGAGGGGCTGTCGCTCTAGTGTTAGCAACTGTTGCTCTAGTGTCTGTGGAACACCCTGCCCCTAGAGATTCGAACGGCCCCCAACCTGTCTATTTTTAAGTCTTTGGTAAAACCTACCTGTTCTCTTTAGTTTACTGATCTCTTTTTAAGTATTTTATTATATGTTATAATTGAGTCTCTGACAAGGCTACTTGTAGCTTTGCTGCTTTTTATGAGTTATATGCTTTTTGTTTTTTCCTGCTGTTTTTACTTTTCTTATTTGTGAGTATTTTATTATTTTTTTCTTATTGTGTGTTCTGTAAAGCACTTTGGTCTGTCTAAGCGGCTGTTTAAATGTGCTATATAAATAAATGAAGTTGAACTTATCAGAGGCTGTAATATGCTGTCCTGGTTTCCCTCGCTGTTTTCCAAAAAGTGGTCCTTGGGTGCTGAATCTCGGAGCAGTTCTGATATGTCCCGGTCTGACGGTGGTGAGCTCTGTGGGCAGGGCTCTGCTGAGATTGTGTCCGTGAGCAGAAATTGTTATGGCTGAGTGGCGTTATCATTGTCCTTGTGTGATATGTCAACCGCATGTCCATTCAGGTGCTGAAATGAAGTCCTGTGGTCATTCATACTGTGTCCAGGTGTGTGTGTGTGTGTGTGTGTGCCATTCAGGTTGAGTAGATTGTTGCACACTGCAGAAGGATGATTGAGGGAGAAGTAGATATTGTCTTGGGATGAGCGAGTACAGCATTAAATGTTTGGCATACTTTTGTCTTATTTTGTAAGGTGAGGAGCACTAACAGCATATATATGTTTTTGAGCCATTTTTATTGTTACCATCCTATTTGCAAAGATGGGCACAAAAAGTACCAGTTTTTAATAATCAAGACATATTCTCTTCATCAAAAATTGTTTTGCTTGTTTCAAGAAGAAAAAAAAACTAAGATGGCATAAGGGACTTATACTATCCAAGAAAAGCTCATTATTGTTTAACATTTACATTATTAACATGTTGTGATAACTATGTATATGCCCCTAACAGGGTGGAATATTTTCATGGACATGTCTGAACAATCTACCCATAATTATTATTTTCAGAGTCCCTGAGCTTGACCAATATGTATTCCTTATAGTTAAACATGTGAATATTTTGGTAGAATGCTAAAAACATGAAAATCATGTCCTTTTTTTCCAACACTTATGAAGCCAAAATGTCACCGCATACCAGGAATGACGCGTATGTTATTTTAAGCATGCAATTGATATGGGTTGATCAGAAATTGTTATAATCTATTGCTGATTAGAAAACTATATTTAGATGACAGCATCAGCATTGAGCTTCAGATCAATGTTTTTTTTTATCACGATAACAAACGAACTATATACAGAACAGAACAAGTTTTGCAACAATGAATACAACACATGTGGTTGCAATTATTAAGTAAAATGTAATGAACAAGAGTTTTCATTCGCAACATAACTTTCTTTTCTTTCTTTTTTTTTACTTTTAATTTTTTTTATGATAAGTATTTTTTTCCCACACCAGGTGTGTGTGTGTGTGTGTGTGTGTGTGTGTGAGTGAGTGAGTGAGTGAGTAAGACAGAGAGAGAGAGAAGGGGGGGTACGATGACTGTGTTCTACGGGTCAAATAGTCCAACGCTGTAGACCAGTTGTTCCACATGGCTAGGGTCTAAGTTTGAACGGTGTGGACTGACCACATTTCCAGCTGTGCTAAAAACACGCTCAGACTGGACACTTGTAGGTGGACAACTGAGATGCTGCAGTGCTAAGCGTGTAAGATTGGGCCAGCACTGAAGCTTGCCTGACCAGTATTTCACTGGTTCTTCGGTAAGGCTGATGTCCCCATCTGCCAGACGGCCTCCACATCACCTGATGGTAAATGTGTCCTCATTGGATTAGCCAATTTCTTTTTCTGCAGGAAAGACAAGACTGAAGTGCTGCTGGTGGCAGGTGTCTCTTCTGTGTTTCTTGCAGGTGTACCCACAGGGTCACAGAGCTCCATCCTGAGGAGTAATGTCCTCTTCAGTGTCTCCACATCAACATTGTTTGGAAAACAGCTGTCCTTATATCTGGGGTCAAGGAGAGTGGCAAGCAGAAATGTGGAGTTTGCAAAAATTGGTTCGAAACGCCATTTTAGTTCTTTGCTCAGATTGGCTGCCAGTTTCCTTGCTGCTGTGCCTAACCTTTCCCTGGACTCAGCCGCAACATCTTGGCCCAGCTCCACTGTGGCATCCTGATCATCATCACCAGCCATGAACTGATCAGGTTCATCCTCAGATTCCTCACTAGCATGCAGTGACCTGATGATGGAGCACAGGCCATGCAGGAGGGGGATGACCTCAGAGATGGAGGCGCTGTGTTTTGAGAGTGCCCGTGTGACCTCCTCAAAAGGAATAAGAACAGTGAGCATGTCTGATGCTAACTCCCACTCATTTGGATAGATGATTGTTGGAGCTTTACCCATGTTAGACTCTTGTGTCATAATCTGCACAGCCCTGCGCTGCTCCACCAGCCGCTGGAGCATGTAGAACGTATAGTTCCACCTTGTTTTTACATCTGTGATGAGTGTGTGATGGGGGAGGTTCAACTGTGTTTGCAGCTCATGTAGTCTGTTGCTGGCTTTGCTTGAGCGATGAACATGGCCAGATATGCTCCTGGCTTTGGAGAGAAGGGATGTCACAACCCTGTCCTTCTCCAGTGCTTTGATCACCACCAAGTGAAGCGTATGAGACACGCAACGGATGTGCCCATATTCAGTCAAAGCTTTCACCATGTTCGCTGCATTATCTGAAACAATAAACCGTATTGTGACAGACTGACCAACACCACTCTCTCATTTTTTCTTTAAGGCAGCACAGAATGTTGTTTGATGTGTGCTCAATGTCCAGCACACCAACATTTAGCAGCCCTGCTTTCCTCTGTACTGAAGCTTCCCCTACACGTTCACACCAGTGCCCAGTAAGACAAAGATATGCATGTGCATTATGATTGCTGGTCCAGAGATCTGTAGTGAGATTGATGACACCTCCCTCAGCTGCCTTAAGTGACTGGACCAACTCCCCTCTCATTGCCTCTTAGAGCTCAGGCACTACAGTTCGACTGAAATAGTGCCTCGATGGGATCTTATACTTGGGCTCTAAAAAGCCAACAAGTGTCTTGAAGCCTCTCCTCTCCACCACAGAGAAAGGTTCAAGATCAGTGCAGATCATTTTACCAATCATCTCTGTAATTTGTTTTGACCGGGGATGGTTTGCTGAGAATGGCTGCTTTGCTGCAAATGCAGTGAGTATTTTATATTTTAAAAAAGGAAGTAGTGATATAAAACTAATAATCTATATTACAAATTAATTAGAATAGATTCACACACACACACTGACACTTCCTCTATCTGCCCGCCATTGGAGGTTTTATTTTTTATTTTTTACCATCTGCTGGGTTTTTTTAATCGTCAGGTTTTTTGTTTGTTTGTTTGTTTTTTGGACTTCATGCACTGAGTTTCTGATATCTTGCGGTATTTTATATAAAATATAAAGGTAGTTGTGGTATAAATAATATTAAAGATTAATTAAGATACACATACAAACACCCCATTCCCTCGCTCTTTCTCCCTCTCTCATGATCAGTGATACAGAATTATGAGTGATACAGAGAGTACTTCAGCTAACACTGCACCACCAGTCCGAGTTTGCTTAAAATGAACGAAGGTCTTACGGGGTTGGAACAACATGAGGGTGAGTAAATACTGACAGAATTTTCATTTTTGGGTGAACTAACCCTTTAATGCTTTAAAAACGCACTGAACCATCAACCACACAACACAACATTGTTATAATATCTTTGATCGATGCCATGAAAATGAACAGAGTGCAAATATAGATGATTAAACTAATAAACATGTGCAAACTTGGACACATACATTTTCGTTTGATGTTTAATTCTGTTAATGGCGCGGTGATCTCTTTCAGGCATAAAATCGTGGATTGTGTCATAAATTCATCCGTATCAGTTGTCATAATAAAACAGTTGTTAAAATTGTTTCTAATCAGACTGATACAAATGGACGAAAAAGTTACCTGTTTGTTTGCCGTTTAATTCAGTTGATGGTGTGGCCATCTAGGCTTAAAATAGAGCAATCAGGCAATAAATACATAACGTTCAACCAATATAATACAATTGTTGGCTAATATATTTTCTAACAACACTGATGCAAATGGATAGATGAGTTAAGTTAACAGTTACCTGTTCGTTTTATGCTGTTTATGCTGTTTAATACAGTTTATGGCGCGGCCATCTCATTTAGGCTTACAATCGTGCATTCTGTCGTAATAACACATTATCAACCGACATCAAAAATAAAAACAAATCTTTTTTTTTTTTAGTGTAGAAACAGGGAAAACGCTCAGAAATGCTGTGAACCAGCTGGAGTTATTCTCTATATCAGTGTGGACTGTTTCTGAACTCCCTTAAACCTCATCACATCCTCATTTAAATAATTCCCGCCCAAGGTATACAGGGCCTTGAGTTGCATTAGTAGTGTGTTGTTGCAGAGTCCAAGAAATGCTGTTTCACAGATCTAATCTACTGATATGTGATTTAATTCCCAGCTGATTATGTTCAGAGACATAACCAATTGTGGTTTTGTGAATTTGCGCTCAGAAAACCATATATCAGAAGCTTAAATTGCCAAGGCTTTTTTAATCAAATGGAAAGAACAAACATTTCATTATGACCACGACAGAGATGATGATCAAGACCAAACAGATGATTTGTTTATTGCTCTGCCCACTTCTGGAAAAGGGGGTGGGGAGCAGTAGCTCATTTCTATTTAAGGAGACACACACAAAAACATCATAATTTTGCTTCCACTCAAAAATGGTCATTTACAGAAGAGCATAATAATTGACCTGGGGTATTTTGAGCTGAAACTTCACAGAACCATTCCATGGGACACCCGAGACTCATATTATCTTGTGTTATTATGTTATCTTGTAAAAAAAAAGAGCATTATAGGACTTCTTTAACAAAAAAGTTTGCATGAGTTCAATGATGAGAGTCCAGATTCAATCACAGCTTCATTTCATAATCCAAATAACATTTGAGTGCTTAGATCCAAATGTTAGGAGTGAAACTACTTCAGATATTTTTCTTTTTGTCCTGCAGCTGTGAATCTGTGAGTGGCGATGGCGTCTGTTAAAGAGCAGCTTCTAAACTCACTGGAGAACCTGACAGAAGATCATCTGAAGAAGTTTCAGTGGACCTTAGAAAATAATCATAAGTGTATATCAAAGTCTGAAATGGAGAATGCAGATAGGTTGAAAACTGTGGATAAGATGGTGGAGTGTTTCGGGCCAGAAGAAGCAGTGAAGATCACAGTGGAGATCCTGAGGAAGATAACCAGGAATGATCTGGCTGAGCAGCTGGAGAACAAACACAAGCAAGGTAATGTTTAATTTATTGTGACTTTAATGTAAGTGACAGGCAATATCTTCCGCTGTTGGAGCTCTTTCAAAAGAGATATGGTGTAAATAACAATCATCGCCTGTACATGGAAACAAGGAAATATAGCAGCAAGCAACAATTATAGGGCCAAGAAGAATAGCAGCAGATCGTATACAGGTACATTTAATAGAACAATGTCTGATTTTACAAATGGTTAAATGGTTTACAATGGTCTAAAAACTAGGTCTGCACGATCAGGAAAATATGCGATATTGTTGTTGAGTATTGCAATAACGATATTTCTTGCGATATAACATTTACCAAAGAAAAGCTATTTTTACTAAGCCTTTAAAATATATATATATATATATATATATATATATATATATATATATAATGATGATATTGAAATAAACAGGTAGCCTTAAAAGATATTCTTGAGATCTTCAGTAGAATATCTCTATTGTGGTTACTTGGCATTTCGTTAGCAGTTTTGGTAGATGTGGGTTTACACTTTTTGAATAAGTGTCTTCATATAGCTCCCTGAGGTTGCGTTTCAGATGACTGTGGAGATTAGTTTCCTCTCATAGTGGCCACAATTTTTCCACACGACTTAGTGACACCGTCACTTATGTTCACATAGCGGGTTTTTTTGCGCTTGCAAATTCGTTATTTCAAATTCAGGCGCGCAGCAAACACGCTCAAAATGTAAGCACATTTTTCCATGACCATCTCCATAAATATATCTAGAAGTAAAGCTAACACAAAGGGGTAGAAATCAATTAATCTTTTGCTGATACTTATTCGTCATCATGGAAAGCCCTCAGCAGAGTTCATGGACCCGTGCAGACCCGAGAAATGCCATAAATGTACTGCCCGGACCCGACCTGGACGCGTCTATTATTTGAAAACTGGACCCGAACCCGGCAGGAAGACACAAACCCGACTGGACCCGATTGTCACATATTATTTCACACGAGTTGCGAAAAATAAAACTTTTTGTCTTATTTAATTTTAGTAGTCGTCGTCTCACTTCCTTGTAACGTTAGTCTATCTGACTGACTGTGATGCATCCATGTTATTTCTCTCGTTTTTCCAAATTTAATCCACTCATTATTTCAGCTTTAAAGTCCACTTGATCTCACGGTGATGGATGACAAATGCAGCCTTGCACATGTACATTCTGACTCGAGTTAACTCGCATAATAACTTTAACTGTTTGCCCTTTTGAACTATAATAACGATTGCTTGTTGAGCTTGATCATATCTGTGCTCTCTGCTCTTCATTGAGTCTGAATCTGACCACCAAAACTTTAAGATTAAACAAGACGGTTCATTTATATTATTATAAACATTGAAGAAAATGCAAAGCGCGGTTTGGCGGAAGCTCTGCTCTGGTTGCCATAGAAACATGACACGCGCTTGAGATTGCACTCCGATCGCACGTGTATTACCAGCCCGTTCTCAGCGCGTGTTATATTAACGATAACGGGTGCCATGTGAGTAGTATTTCGCCATTTTGTCATACAGCGCGTCCTATATGACGCTAAAGGACGAGAATGCGTTGGTATTACACACAATGTTAAACAGACCCGGGACCCGAAGTAATAGATTCGGACCCGACCCGGACCCGGCTGATCATTTAAAATATAGACCCGAACCCGTACGGGTCTTGGGTGCACTGTGAAGACCTCTATTACACAGTTCCTGCATTTGTGACACTTCTTCTCTATTGAAGCCAAAATATTGCTATATTTCAGACGTATAGTTCTTTTTAGGAACAGGTTCTACGCTGTTGTCATTTTCCTCACTTGTCTCTACTCCCGCCATTAGTTTTTATTTTTTCACTTTCTGCTCTGAGCCACAAGGTTCCCCTTTGGGCCCGGTCTAGCCAATAGCATAATAGCATCTACTGGGGAAGCAGGTATAAAGATAGTAAGGCCCCATTTGATTGGTCGATTTTGGATAAACAACCTATGCATGCATGCAACACACAAATGCTTAGCACATAAAATAAATGTAATTTATCGCACCTCTCTGCGATACGAATATCGCATATACTATTATAATAAGCGATAACGATAATTTTTCGATATATCGTGCAGCCCTACTAAAAACCTTCTGCAAAACTTCTGCAAGCAACTTGTACATGCGAAGGCTCATTTCAATAACCCTTACCTTAACCTAATAAAGTCTAATGTCTAGGTATCAATGTTTAAGCTTTTAATTAATGCATCACCTAAATTTGATCTTGGTCCAATAGTGACAATCCAATAAATACTCTGAAACCACTTGCATTCAAGTAAGCATTAGTCAAGGTGTTTCCATCACCATATGCATAATCAGTGTAGGCAGGGTTCTCAAGTCTCACGCATTGGCCGTGAGACACACGCAATTCAACCAGTTGACACGCTCACACGCCACACCGGGTATTTCTCACGCTGAAAAGGCAACGTCAACCAAGATGTCCTGCAAGCTTTATATATAACGTTGTATACGAGCCATAGGCACACAGCGAAGTTTCCTGCCGCCAGCACGTATCTCTCGGAGACTGCATTCGTTGCTAATCGTTAGGCAACGTAGACGTGCGCCGCGAACACACCGAAGTTGACGGAACGTTCTCGTCGTACTAGGTAACCAACAACAATCGCCGAACACACGTCGTGATGGAGAAGGGAAGAAAGCTCGTCTAACATTTTTAGAAAAAGGGTTCTATATATGTAGCATAGGGTTCTTTACTCAACTGCAAAGGACCTTTTATCCAATAAAATGATGATAATGACAAGAAAGAAGCCTTTTGGTACAAAGGTTCTTTATAGGCTATTAATTATTCATATATTACATTATTCTGCAACATTTTGCAGTTGTAATTAAATTATTGTTTATTAAACTGTTGTAGTAACTTAATATCCCATTTTAATCATGCTGATTTTTGAAGGATAAAAAGTGAAATGGCACTCTTCGTGTGATATTGATTAATTACATTTTTTAATATCTTGAATTTTGTGATCATTCATGCATTGCATTTTAGGGGTTCCAAATAGCCTACGTAGTGCTTTAGAACCTTTTAAGGCTCACCGCTTAGGAGTTTTACCGCCCCCTACCGTATAAGATGATGATATAGCTGGAAGCGCAAAACTTTCTGTTTACAAGCAGAGGAAGATGCGCGCTGTACATACGCTTTTCAATTAGCGTATTTTCCGCACTATAAGGTGCACTTAAAAGCCTTTAATCTCCTCAAAAAACGACAGTGTTCCTTATAATCCGGAGCGCCTTATATATGGATCATCATTTTATACGGTAGGTGGCGGTAAAACTCCTAAGCGGTGAGCAGCCGGTAACAAGAAGTAGACGAATGAGAACGTCCTCGTCTCAGTTCTCGCGCATGCGCCCATAAGGAAGTAATGGAATAGTGGAATAAAGTCGTTATTTATGTTTTTTTCGCACAAAAAGTAGTCTCGTCGCTTGATAAACTTATAATTGAGCCGCTGTAGGCACATGGAATATTTAAACCTTTCCTTTTCTGACTTTATGGGCCGTCAAGAGCCAGTCCCTTAGGCAGTCTATGTAGGACTGATCCAGCTCTCAGATTCAATCAAAAATATCTTTATTTGTGTTCTGAAGATGAACGAAGGTCTTACGGGGTTGGAACAGCATGGGGGTGAGTAATTAATGACTTAATTTTCATTTTTGGGTGAACTAACCCTTTAACGTTGGCTGGCAGAAGTGCAATCATGGTTTCCTGATGCTAAATCCAGCCTTGGAGAATATCCTTTCTGATGGTGTGCATCCACACTTTATATTTTCTTATCCCAGACTTTTTTAAAGATTTAAATCTCTGCCGACAAGATGCTCCTCTGTCGGTCACGGATCGAAAGTGAAACTTAAATCGGTCACAGGGGTGGTTGGATTAATTCACGCACGCTAAAGATATTTATTAAAAGCTTCTTTCTTTGCATTTACATTTTTATTTACAGCATTATCACAATAGGCTGTATATGACAGAAAACCGGTAGTTCTATGTGAAACCAGACATTGAGCACACTCATATACCCAAAGTGGCATGATCCGATCCTCGTTTCATTACACCTCTGCAAAGATTCGACCGTGAGATTGGTAGTCGAATCTGGCTCCTCGTATCAAAGCATCGAATCTTCAACTGTTCGGGGTCACCCCTAAATCAGAGTAAGATGAGCATGTAAACACAATTGCAGTATAAGTGTGATTCATTTGAATATAGCAGAAATTCACTACATGCTGTAGTTATTTGTGTAATGGGAACTACAGACCAGGTTACAAATTACACATAGGTTTTATTAAGAATTTATGAAAAACATGATCATTTAGTCTTTGCTGTCTTTTCTTCTCTTATTTTAAAGGCTCAGCTGAAGATAACAGACAAGCTACTCTTCATGATTACACAGAGGCCAGCTGCAGACTGAAGGACATATTAAAACAGGAGTGTGAGCGGATATTGGTGGGTAATTCACAGACGGGTCATCAGAAAAACCTGAACGATATCTACACTGATTTATATGTGGTGGAGAATGAGACTGGAGGAAGAGTGAACGAGCACGAGGTGATACAGATCGAATCTCACAATCGACCGACTGCCAAGGAGACTCAAGTCAAGTGTAATGACATGTTTAAACGAAACTCAAAGGTACTGACGATGGGGATCGCAGGGGTGGGAAAAACTGTCTCAGTCAATAAATTCATCCTTGACTGGGCTGAAGGAAAAGAAAATCAGGGTATAAACTTCATATTTCCACTTCCATTCCGTGAGCTAAACCTGATTACAGAGGACTGCAGTCTCACAGAACTGCTTCATGAACACTTCTTTAGTGATAAGGAACTGCCCTCTCTTCCTAAAGGTGACAGGAAGGTCTTGTTCATTTTTGATGGACTGGATGAATGTCGCTTCCCTTTGAGTTTTGAAGATGGTGTCAGATTTACAGATGTTCACAAAAAAACAACAGTGAGTAAGATAGTTACAAGCCTGATCAAGAGACACCTGGTTCCCTCTGCTCTCATCTGGATCACTTCCAGACCAGCAGCAGCCAGTCTGATTCCCCGAAGATACATTGATCAAGTGACAGAGGTGCGTGGGTTTAACGATGAGCAGAAAGAGCAATACTTCATCAAAAACAGCAGTCCTGAGGTCGCTGGAAACCTCATCAGTCACATCAAGAAATCCAGGAGTCTGTACATCATGTGCCATATCCCCGTCTTCTGCTGGATCTCTCTCACTGTTCTTCGGCCTCTACTGGATCAAGAGAGCAATGACAAAACTCCCACAACTCTCACAGGGATGTACACAAGCTTCTTAATTTCTCAGCAGCAACAGAAGAAAGACAAATACTGTGCTGTGCCCGAACCTAAAGTCAATGCAGTGTCTTTTGATCAGATTATTCTGAAGCTTGGGAAACTGGCCTTTCAACAGCTGGAGAAAGGTCAACTGATTTTCTACAAAGAAGATCTTGAGGAATGTGGACTCGATGTCAGGGAAGGTTCAGTGCAATCTGGGTTATGCACTCAGATCTTTCAGAAGGAAACTGTTTCAGCCAGAAGTGTTTTCAGCTTCGTACATCTCAGCGTCCAGGAGTTCCTTGCTGCTCTTTATGTGTTTATGATGAACAAAAACAAGAAAGCAAACCCATTTCTTCAATCCCGCAGTGAAAAACTGACATGGAAACTGTCCAAAAAGTCACAGTTTCAGCTTCATAAGGCTGCAATCAACAAGGCTTTAGAAAGCAAGAACGGACACCTGGACCTTTTCCTTCGGTTCCTCCTGGGTCTCTCACTGGAGTCCAATCAGAGTGACCTGAAGGAACTACTGCCAAAACTGAAACTCAAATCAGAGAACGTTAAAGACACTGTTGACTATATCAAACAGAAAATAGAGACAGAGAAATCAGTAGAGAGGACCATCAATCTCTTCTACTGTCTGAGTGAACTAAAAGATGACTTTGAGGAGGAAATCCAGAAGAATCTGAGCTCAGGAAATCTTTCAGCAGATCTCTCCTCTGCTCAGTGGTCTGCTCTGGTGTTTGTGCTCCTGATGTCAGAAGAAACTCAAGAGAAGTTTGAACTGCAGAAATACAGAAGATCTGATGAAGCAGTGATGAGACTACTGCCAGTGATCAAAAACACCAGAAGAGCACTGTAAGAGTCTACTTTACATTCATTTATATACACTGTTACTCATTTTAATTGGGCCTTAATCTTACACAGGTGATTTGCTGGGCAAATCAATTTTGTGATGATATTAAATGCCTGACCCAACTTGCCTAATGGAGAACACACTCATCAGGCAAAACTCAGTAACCTGAGTTTTAAATATTTTATCATTCCTAATTTTATTAAAACTTAAAGAAACTGAAAATACTGGTTATTTGATAAAGATAATTTTTATAACTTTGATTACTAGGGATCCACAATACAACTTTTCCAGAAAAGTCAGATACACATTCATTTGTGGTACTTGCCGATACAGAGTACCGATACCGATACTGTCACCTGGTTGATGAAGCAGACAGACGAAGCTTGATTCCAAACGAAAACAAAGCTTGTTTGCTGCGGTTCAAGCCCGAGTGCGTTTGTTTCGGGCGCCCCGCGGCGTTGGTCTGGTTTCACACTAGGGCTGAACAATTATGGAAAATAATCTAATTGCGTTTTTTAACCAATATTGCGATTGCGATTTAATATGCGATTTTTTTAAAAAAAAGTTCTTTACCTTCTGTAGGCCTATTAGTCGACAAAGACAAGCAATAAATCATTGTACAGTAGGGATGGGAATCTTTAGGCAGCTCACGATCTGATCTACTTTTTTTTCTTATTAATTAATCCTAATAACTAGGGCTGTGAATCTTTGGGTAGACAGCGAATCGATTCGATTCACGATTCATAGGTTTTCGATTCGATTCATGAACGATTTGTGCAAATTCAGAACGATTCGATTCGATGCGATTCACATCCAAATTCGATGCGATTCGATTAATTCGATTCGATTCTTAATTTTTTATATGCATTATAGTATTATTTTAATGCTTCACCCAATGGGTCTTTGTCTGGGTTTGAATTAGCCTATACAGCAGCCTTCGGGGGTCAGATAGTGGGGATTTTGTCCATTGTTAATGTTAGTTCATGTTTGTTTTTAATTTTAATGAATATATTATTATAAAAAAAAATTCAATGGCCTACAAATTAGCATTTGCAAGTAGCAAATATTTTGAAAAAGGCTTTTAAAGTATTGCATTAAATGACTACATGCACAAATTAATGGAGACGTTTTCATTAGTTTCATTTTGCGTCCTCTCAGTGCACTCGTTATCATCTTTTCACTGGATTTTGCTCGCGCTCGGTCCCATAGCTCTCATGCTTTCATAACGTTAACTACAGATTTTTGAGCAGTCCATGTTTGAGCTCTCCAGCTGAGCTCTCTGTCGAGAAAGCAATAGTTTTGAGGCAAACCGCTCAAGCCATTGTTAAAGCTGCCATGCCATTGCGTGGGCACTATGAAATAAAACGCTTTTATTCATTTATTACATGGACTCTCCGTACACGCAAGGTGGTCTCTCGCTCGCTTTCCCTCTCTGCCGAGTGCGTGCAGCCGTGTGTGAACGCGCGATACGCGGTTTGGAGCACAACCTCTGTCTCGTATGCACGCTCGCTCTAGATTCCGGGAGATTTTATCTAATTTGCGGTAATACAAGCTGATCACGACATGAGTAGCTCAACAGGTAGAAAGATAAACTCATCTTTCAGGCATTTGACCGACCGGGCTTCAGCGTGAGAAATCAGGGGTGTGTGAGCGCCTGAAACCAATCAAATGCGGATGTCGTATGACGGCCAATGCGTGAGGCAGCTTGTACCAGGAACACTTTAAGGTTGTGTTTATATATTTTAAACCACTGAATCGCTATAAAATCGTGATTAATTCGATTATTAGCCTTTTAAATCGATTATTCACGTAAATAAACGATTCACGATTCAAAATACATGTTTCAGGATCGATGCATATGCATCGCCAGGATTTATAATCGATGCATCGAGAAAACGAGTGAATCGTTACACCCCTACTAATAACACTTAAAATATGTATTTAATTATGTGTAAAAACACATACTTTAAGAAAATATATATAAAAAACATTTAATTAAACCAATTACATGTTAAGAAATGTAAATAGGCTATATAAACTAACATAGCTTTAAAATATAAAAGCTAGTAAATAAAGAGAAACAAAAAAGCATTACAAGCAATAAAGAAAGAGTGGTCTCAGTATTTAAAATGTTTTTCATTCAAGAGGTGGAGTGATTTCCCCCTCAGTTTAGATATGATAAGCTGCATTCACACTAATGCACATATGTCTATTAAAATTGTAAATGTGGTTTGTCCTGTTGGTTTAAGATATAACTCACCGTGTTTGCATTAATTTCGCATCATGAAAGCATTTTGACATGCAATTACGTTTAACCAATGAGTTGCTCACGGCCGCATGCACGAGCGCTCTTCACAAATCACGCGTTAGTATTTTAAAATGAAAGCAGCCTTCTCTGTGATTTTCATATTTTTAATATATAAGCCAACTGCACTCCAAAAGATATAAATAATGCCTTTGTGAAGCATTTGTAAGGAAAATTCCTGCGGCAGAGAACGCACACTGCAAGAGTGATGTTATAACATCAAGCAAAGCGGCAAAACTTGTGCAATGAAGCCTGCGAATGTCCTTGTAATTCGGTTAAAGGTTCTCAAAGCGATCCTGGTGTCACGGATCCGTCGGCGTCAGCACCAGATACCTTCACTCCGCCTACTCGTTCCGGTTCCCCTGACTACTAATCATCATCACCTGCCATCACCACCTGCCATCACTTATCCGGACTATCATCCACTCCATATATACTCACCTCATTCAGTCACTCACTGTTTGGTCTCGTCTTTACCACGACTACAGACTCTCTCTCGCTATTTCTCGTTCCTGTTGTGACTCACCTGGATTTGATACTCCTATCCGTCAGCCTTCCGTCTGTTCCAGTCTTTGGTCCCCGCTGTCTCCAGTCCGTTCCTGTCTCCAGCTCCGATCCCGTCTCCACAGCCCCGTCAGCTCACCTGCACCCCGGACCTATTCAGATAAGAGAACCTTCATCAGACTGTATCCATCCATCTGCATCTACTACTTCCACGCTACTTACCATTCTACGCCTATTTCAATAAACTCTGTTCATACTCACCTACCTGTGTCCTTCTGTTCTGTGACACCTGGGTGTTGACGTTTGAATATTTTCAAACAAATCGGAGCTAGACCCTCCCTCCTCCGCATCTCATCTCCTCCCCCTCCCTTCCGTGCTTCCTGAAATAATTGTGAACGTGCATAGTTGACTCGATGACTGCATAGTTCTAGCTAATTATATCCTTGTGTGGGTTTGGCGAACATAAGCGTCAATTTAGAAGAAAAAAAACAATTTAACGTTACCCACCTGTCCAGCGAAAACAGAGCAACCTGAATGTCGGACTGGAAGCCCTTCTGCCGCCGGAGTTCTCGCCATCGTTCAAAAGCTTTGCTACCGATGTAAATTCGGAACTTTGCACGTTCTTTATCCGACTCCTTCTTCTTTTTAATTTGTTCCTCAGAACGACGTCTCTTTGGTCGTGTGTCGGTAATTTTTCAAACTTCCCTCTGTTGCTTCGTTGCTCTCCTTCACATACACACACACCCTCAAATACTTCTTGCCAGTGATTGGCTGGAACACTGTTTGTTAGGTTTCGTGGTCCGGGTGAGACATGATTGTTTTTGTTGCCGTTTGTGGAGCCTGTGGTGTCTACAGAGACCGCGTTTTTTTACAGTGTGTTTAGGGGACAGGCAGCTAGCCGATAGTGAGGAGACGTTTGATGTATGTGACAAAATGTTTTGGCCCAGCATCGCTTAGAGAACCTTTAAATCCCGAATGAGTATGAAATACCATGTTTCGGAAGTAGGGATGGGTACCAAAACCCGGTATTAAACGGGCCCCGGTGCTGAATTTTGAAAGACCGCTGTATCGATAAGCTCGGACGTTATCGGTTCTGCTGTCGGTACTGGAGAAATTAAGTAAATACACGTAGGTTACAATTTATTACTATAAAGACGTTATCTTGAACATGTTTATATCCCCAGCCTTTTCTATATATAAACTATATTTTAATTAAACCATTTGTCTGTGATGCAAATTTGCTATTCGCAGTTCAGAAGAGAGAGAGAAAGAGAGAGAGCGATCTCTCACGCGAAGCCACAGCGCGCACAAAACGACAGCCCTTGCCTAATGAGTGACAATGAGGACAGAACTAAACATTCAAACGAGGTTACACTTTAGATGTGGGATATTATTCTAATGTTATTTTAGATTTCGGCTTCCAAAGATTATAAGAAGATATTTGAGATACACCCGTTAAAAACGAGACGCATGATCTGTCCAGCGCAACTTCCTTCACTTCACAGCACTGCGCTGTCGGTTCTTCCTAAACCCAAACATGCCGTCAGAATCAGCACGATCGGCATTTGTTGCAAAATGCTGTCTCTACTGTTGCTAGATCATAAAATGGCTATTAAAAACACAAAAACCTGCGCAAGAGACGCTGTTCACAAGGCGGTGCGCGCTCCGAAACGGACTGCAATGAGACAAGAAGAGTAAAGCCTACTTTGGGCTTCGTGTGTCCTAAACTATCAAATATACATAAAAATGTCAAAATGACCAGCTCTGAGATTCACTTAAACACAATTATGTCTTAAATGGACGTAAATAATAGGGAGAAAATGATGGTGCTTCAGTTACCGATTAGATTTGCTCTCGGTCTTAAAGGGGCAGCAGTCTAATAAATCTGCTGACGATTCAGCCATTAATGCAAATCAAACAACAAAAGCACTTGAATGAGCAACTTTAGATTTAATAAGCATTAATCTATCTATGATAAACTATACAATGCTATTTTACATTTGATTGCTAAATTAGATTTATTTTCAAACAGAATATATTACCTAAAAAGTAATGTTAGTAGACCTTACTGCAATTAAAGAACTGTGTATATAATTTGTATCTTTGATTAATTGTATCCTATCTTTTGTATATAAAACAATAAAAGCATGCACACTGCTGCATAACTATTTTTTTTCTTCGTTTTGTTAAAGC